GGTGGCAAAGGCGGGCCAGCACGAGTCGCAGGTATGGTTGCCCCAGGGGGAGAGGCGTCCGTCCGTGCCCTGCGGGGAGACGTGAGGAGATGCGAGGATATGGGGAGATAGAGGCGTCCGTCCGTGCCCTGCGCGCCGTAGCACGGATTTGGGTACCGTGGGGGTGGGTGGGGGGGTGGGGGCGGGGGATGGGTTCGGGTACCGTGGGGGGGCGGGGGGGGATTCGGGTACCGTGAAAGGCGGGTGATGGGTGGGGGTACCTGCGCGGCGTACTGCCACTCCCACGCGCGCGGCAGCCGGCCGCCCGCCCAGGTGCAGTAGTCGCGCGCCTATCCCCTACCTCCACGGTACCCAAACCCATCCTACCTCGGCCCGCCCGCCCAAGTGCCGTAGTCGCGCGCCTCGTCGAGCGAGACGTAGGTGACGGGCCAGAGATTACCCGAGATTACCCGAGATTACCCGAGATTACCTCGTCGAGCGAGACGTAGGTGACGGGCCAGAGATTACCCGAGATTACCCGAGATTACCCGAGATTACCTCGTCGAGCGAGACGTAGGTGACGGGCCAGAGATTACCCGAGATTACCCGAGATTACCCGAGATTACCTCGTCGAGCGAGACGTAGGTGACGGGCCAGAGATTACCCGAGATTACCCGAGATTACCCGAGATTACCCGAGATTACCTCGTCGAGCGAGACGTAGGTGACGGGCCAGTCCGCCATGCGCGGCGGGGGCGACTTTGGCGGGAGGGGCGCCGGCCCGGGCGGGGTGGTAAACGGCCAGCCTAGTACCATACCTCCAGGGTCTCGAATCCAGTGGTGGGTTCGGTGCCCGCGAGTGGTGCGGTGTGTCACGCGCCCGGTCGCCAGTTGCTGAGCCAGTTGAGCGGGTCCTTTGGCGCGTAGCCCGTCGCGCGGCGGTAGGCCGAGTAGTTTGCCGTGGTGACGGGGTGGCGGTCGATGAAGAGGGGCGGCACGGCGAGTGTGTGCGAGTGCTCGCGGCGCGGCGCCTCCTGGATGCGGTGGTCGCAGGTAGAGAGTGAGGAGAGGGAGAGGAAGGGGGGGGGGGGGGGGGGGGGAAGGAACCAGGGAGGGAGGGAGGGAGGGAGGGAGGGAGGGAGGGAGGGAGGGAGGGAGGGAGGGAGGGAGGGAGGGAGGGAGGGAGGGAAA